TGACTGCGTTCAGCAGAGAAAGCAGCTTTGCAACTGTTGTAAAATTCTTCAATACGATTGGTTCTTGCTTTTGGTTCCTTACAGATCTAACCGTATAAACCAATCATATTGAAGAATTTTACAACAGTTGCAAAGCTGCTTTCTCTGCTGAACGCAGCCAATGAGCGCTGAGTGAGCGCTTGCTTCTTATTGGCATATTCCGTTAGAACTAAAAATATAGATCAAACAGATACAAGAGTTCACTGAGCGCTCAACGAGCTCTTGTATCTGTTTGATCTATATTTTTAGTTCTAACGGAATATACCAATAAGATGCAAGCGCTCACTGAGCGCTCAGTGAGCGCTTGCATCTTATTGGTATATTCCGTTAGAACTAAAAATATAGATCAAACAGATACAAGAGTTCACTGAGCGCTCAACGAGCTCTTGTATCTGTTTGATCTATATTTTTAGTTCTAACGGAATATACCAATAAGATGCAAGCGCTCACTGAGCGCTCAGTGAGCTCTTGTATCTGTTTGGTCTATATTTTTAGCTCTAATGGAATATGCCAATCAGATGCAAGAGCTTACTGAGCGCTCTGCGCTTCTGGATGCACCTTTTGATTACCCCGGATCTACAATAGGGTTTTAAGCCTTAAGTCATAAGAAATGGGCGAATCACAGTCGATTATTCCCCTCGGATTCGATTGTAATTGGTCAATTTCTTATAGCTTAAGTCTTAAAACACCTATTGTAGATCCGGACTTACCATCGTACAAATCAGTGCAAACTTACCTTAATAATAATGTATTGGTCAAGCATATACGTCAAATATGGAGTGGTTATGCGTGTCATTGTTCATTGATGACAGCTCTCTCTCCGACATTTCTCTCAAGATTATTACAATGATAATAGGATTATTATAATGACAAGCGTAAAAATATGAATGGCACATCAAAATGTCAATGTGCTTTATATCCGACTAGCTAATAAAGGTAAATCGTCGAAATAAAATGTCGTTTTGCGTTGAACAGGTAATTGCTTTTTCCGCAGAGATGAGATCATTGTGATGAATTATTTTTGGAAGAGAAATATTAAAATTTTTATCGTATACAGTGAATGCGCAAACAATTCAGCATATATCTGTTAGATTTAGACATTTTGTTTTTCGTGATATCAAAGATTTAATAAGATTTCTTTTGACATGTTAGTTCAGTTTTGTTAATTGCATGTTTTGAAAAATAATAGTCAAATAACTGTACAACAAAGCATTATACTCGACTGAATTGTGATAAAATCTTTTTACAATTATATTATAGAAACGCATGGGTTATGTTAAGATAAATTTGATGATATAAATTCAAAGTATAAAGATAGATTTATACTAAATAGTATAATAAATTTTCTATTTTTTCCACAATTGTAAATTATTAAATAATTGTATTTATTATGCAATATATTACATATATAAACATTGTATATTCATGTATTTTATATTTATTAATAATTATATTAAATAGATTTTTTTTATCATTTCAGTATATAATATACTATGAACAATAGTTTTTAATTCAGTAGTTGAAAAAATAGCATTATCATGGAGGAGAACGAACTATACAATGCTACAGTCTCATCTTTCTTTGGGATTGAATCGGCATTTTGGAATTATTCCGATCATGTCATTTTGGATGATCTTAAAATGGATAGCAACTTTATATGGTTGCTATGTTCGCTAGTATCTGCCATATCCTGGATTGTTTATATTGCTTATTATAATAGTAGAGTAGCTGGTTATATATTGACAAAGTTGTTAAATCGATTTGTTATTAGAGACGGATATGTTAAAGTTGGTAAGAACATATTAGTATAATTAACAGAGAATTGACATACTATTTCAGGATATTCATTATACTTTATTCACAGGATCTGTCATACTAAGTGCTTTAAGTGGGAAGATAATGTTTAGGGACATAGTTTATATCACGACAGATTATAGTTTTAGAATTCAGGATGGTTGGCTCATTTTTAGGTGGTGGAGAAGCTATGTCCCTAAAGATGTATCAGAAGGCAAATATTTTTCTTAATACTGAATATAATAATTATATAAATTTTCAAACCAAAATGTAAAGTAAACATATATATATATCTTACAAAATTTTATATATTATAGATCTCTCGCATTCTGACACACGGTTATCAGTTATGTTAAATGGCTTTGAGTTACATGTTTACAATCGCTGTCAACTTTATGCACAATTAGAAAAATCTTTTGGTCTTACACCACAAATGTTTGCTGATGAAGAATGTCATAATATAAACAGTGATGATCTTGACGGAGAATCTATAAATAATGCAGCTAATGAGACTCGTCATTCACAAATTAATGCAATGGATGTATCTCGTCATGTGGATAATATCAGAAAGAAGGAAGCTCATGTAATTGCACGTACTTGGAGAGACTTGATACCAGTTATTAAACTAGATATTTGCACAGTTAGTAATATCAAATTATTCTACTCTGCTTTAACTTTGCTATTTATACTTGTTCACAAACATACAACTTGTAAAACATTGCCGCAATATATTCCTTCTTTTCTAGGGAAGACTAGTATTTGGTAATAGATTAGTGCCAACTACATTATCAATAACAGTGGAAGAAGCACATTTTGTATATTCTACAAAACCAGCAGCATCCAGGCATGATCATTTTATGCACTTTACCAAGTGCAAAGCCGAGAATTTTAAAGTTATTTTGGCCCCTAGTCCGAAATATACTGGAATGGTTGATGATCCACCTAGATACATGGGAGAAGGTTTCGTTATTTTAAGTTCAAATAATATGGAAGTTTATTATTACATGG